CATCAGCGAAAAATGTAGCAGACCCATTGACTAAGCCACTAACACAAAAATTGTTTGAGAAACACGTGGAAAGCATTGGACTCTGGCTTATACCCGATTGGACCTAAGTGTAAGTGGGAGCTGTTATATAGTGTATGCCCTTAGCTCCAATCAGAATGATGTACATTATGACATTTAATGTAAATGAATAAAGTGCATATTTGATTCGTGTTATCATGGTGTGTTTCTATGTAATACCCTGGACACATATGAGACTCGTGTTAGTTTAGAATCTTCACATCCGTTGGATAGATCTGAGAGATTTATCCTACCAAGGCTGACACTGATGTGCTGCCAAGTTGGTTAAGGTGACCTGTCTCAGCTGCTAGGGTGAGACCTGAGGTACATGCTGTGTGGGTTTTCTTGAAACCTTGAACCGAACCAAAATTCCAGTATTGCCCTAGACCTTGGAGATAGATGGGCAAAATTGGAATGTTACACCTGACCCCTAGACACGATTATGGTACTACACTAGGTGTCGGATTAGGCTGTCTTTGATGTGTCAATCATTGAAATCCTTAGAGGGGGTCAAAATCTAGGTATGTTGAGACAGTCCGAGAATTCATCTGAGTGGGTGATCATAGTGACAAGATCAGCCCCTTTGTCGGACAAAGTGAATGATCGGGGATGCRCTCTCTCTGATGGAAACCAAAACTACCGGCAGTCGATTTCAACCATTGAAATTTGTTTTGCAAAATATATTTAGATAAAGATATACATATATATTATGGTTTCAAAATGTTTGCAAAATGTTTTAATTCTCGAGATCCATGCGAGTAGAGAGTGTAGCACTATACCTTGCAGCCGAGGGAGAGGTCCTCTCTTGTCGAGCATTGTTTGATCATTATGGGCTGAGAGGTTAAGTGTAAGACCATTGAGGGTAATACCTGATGGGCTAATCTTGCATTTGCCTACAGTCCTTGGGTTTTTATAAGGTAGTTTGACCCAAAGACTATTTAATTTAAATGTTGGGCCCGTTAAGAGCCCATGGTGATGGACTCAGGGGTTCACTGTCTTCTACAGTGAATTCGGCCAGGCCTTGTAACAAAGGCTGGACTGAATCCATGTGGCTGATGTGTAGATCAATGTTTGGGTCCCACGGCATACAAGGAGGGCCAACTGGGTAGCAGAATAAGAGGGCTAGTGAGCACATAGACTTAACGAGTCTAAAGCCCAATTCGAACTGGCTCAATAAGATTAATTAAATGAGGGTGGTTCTGGGATTTGGATCAGCAGATAGGATAAGGGATTATCCCTATCCACTCAAAGAGTCCAGATCCAAATAAAGATTTGGATCAGGAATCTCCTAATTAGATTAGGAAGGTTGATCTTCATTTGCATATAAGATAAGGAATTATCCTTATCTCTTAAAGAGAGTTCATATCCAAATATAAGATTTGGATTAGGAAACTCCTAATCAGATTAGGAGAACCTCTCTTTAAGGCTATAAATAGGAGAGCAAGGCGAACCCACAATAAGACAACAAATAGTCTACTAAATTAAGAGAGGAAACAATATACAGTTTGACTGATTCTGTCTTCTGCTCTTGTCCTGCTCTTGCCACCCTACCCAGTTCGATCTCCACCAGTGGGAGCGATCAAGAACAGTTCTTGATATTGCCTTTTGGTAGAAGAGGCAATCTGAAGTCGTCCTCATTAGCCCTCTATCATTTTCTTGTTGAAGAATTTGGTTCTTGCTGAAGAACCGTCCAGCTGATTCTGTTTCACCTTGCACCGTGTCATCTTCGGTGGAAGCAGCCTTTGGTCTTCTTCTTGGGCGTGAACACCTTCATTGGAGGTTTACTATTACTCCGGATCAGGTATATCCCTCTACTCCCTTTTGGTTTCGGATCTAGTCTGTTTTGGTTTCAAGATTGATCCTTGAAAATATAGTTTTCTAAAATAGGGAATGTGATTCCCACATGGGAGAGAGAGAAGTTTTTAAATTTTTGCCCAACCTTCGTGCAGGGTTTGGCCATCCATATGATGGATCTCTCATCCCTTCATTATTTCCATCATCATCATCATCACAGGTGATGTGATATTGTAGAAAATTGTCCACTAAGAATTGTTACATCTATGAAAGTTTAGTTGGACACCCTTCAACAAAATTTCATAGAATCTGAACAAAATTTTCATCTAAGAATTTTTCCATTTATGAAACTTTTGTGGGACACCCTTCAACAAAATTTAATAGGATCTGAACACTGGCAAGACAAATTTGGATTGGGCAGCACCACTTAATAGGACTAGTTCCTTGAGACAGTGTAAATACAAGTTTATGAATATAAACTACAAAGCTTTGCATTGTACATATTTGTATTTGAGCCTTAAATTTGAAAAATTTAAGGTTTTAGAATAGTTGTGCCAACTCTATGGTGGGTGATCAAGGTTGGATCAGACATACCTAAGCCAAACCTGGTTGGATCAGACATACCTAAGCCAAACTTGGAACCAGGCTACAATGTAAAGGGAAGTTGATCATTTTCAAACCAAGGCAGAGTTTTCATATCTATTCCTATCATACAAAATCGATGGTGATTCTTGATATATTCATGTGGGCAGACACGAAAATAGGAATGTTTTGTAATGTAACCCATTATGTAAATTCTCAGTAGGCTTATGCATTGTTGTTCGTGGTTCTTTCTAACTCACGAATCTCTAAGTTGTGAAAATTGAGTACCAATGCTTTTTAATAACTTAGCAGGTGGAGTTGATAGGGAACTAATAAATCAAATGGTATCATTTTATTTTTCCATTGTGCTTGAATGTAGCATGTAAATGGAGTCATTATGGGAATGTTAATAAAATAGAAATGAGACAACTCAAGCTTCAGGGCCATTGGTTTGTGTGATGTTAAAACTTTGGGTAACAAACATGAGAATCTCAGTTGTAGTCTGAGAGTGGCCACTTTGTGCAAAAAATGGCAACATCTAGTCCATATCCAATCTGAGAGATTCCCTCGATACAACCTCATTGATCTAACAAACAAAGCAAAACAGCATTACAACATTTCAGATAACAAAGCAAAGTTTTCATCCAATATGATGCCACCCCAATGACTTTAGAAATGGCTATATTTTAAAACTCCCAAAAGACTGTTAATAGATGCCCACTTCCACCAATATTCTTTCACCTTTACCACAGAGTTTCTTGACCAGAATGGCCTGACTATGAAAGGATTTGCCATTCCTTTCTTCCAAACTGACCAGTGTATTGCCTCAGGCACCTTGCTCCAAAGGACCTTGCCCCTCTTTGACAAACCTTCCATTTTCCAAGAAGAAAAATTAATGCCTCTACATTTGTAGGTTCTACCCGTGTAACATCAAACAGGTTAAACATGAGACCAAACTGCATAAAATAGCCTACAATGTGTAGTAATGTGTGGTGTACGTAGGTATGGTCCAAAGAGAACATGGTGTACTCGATATTTTGGTTCTCACTTCCACAAGTATTCTCTGCACTAAGTTTCCTCGCGCAACACCAAGTATGCTGATTTCTGTCAATGAAATCGAAACCAGGTAGACATCTACAATCAGCTTTTTGATCCATGAGAATACAATATGCATTCATGCCACATAGCCCCTTGGCATCACAAAAATCATTCATTGAATTCATTTCCATTGACCAATCACTGCTATTTACATCCAAATTGGTCGAATAGAGCCGGAAGAGCCCATCGACATCGATTGTCATGCAGGTAAACCGTCGTCCTTCCGGTGGCAAATCCACCATTAGTTACATTCTTTATGTTGAAACTGGTTCCGTTGAGCAAGTAGAGATATGGTCATCAATGTTAAAATTTAAACTAACGTTGTTTCCTTGGCCATTAGTACCTGAAGCCCAATAAGCGCAAGGGGCCGTGTCTGAATTGTCTACGGGATACTGCACCAGATTTCCATCCTGCTGCATCTTGGGCACCTTCAGCGATGGATTTGATGGCTTGGTTTTGTGCGGATTGCAAGATGAGTCTACCGTCATTTTTCAAGACTAATGTAGTATTTCATGGCATTGGCGGGTCTTGTCTGTTTGTAGTCCAAACGACTGTTTTTTGGGGAATTTTGGCAAACCAAGTTCCAACAGCAAAGCCATTGCTGTATGTGTAAAACTCGAAAGCAAATCGGCCAGAAGGTGAGAGCCATGATGGGTTTTGGTGGGGGAGAGAGATGAGACCAAGCTTATGTTAGATGATCTTTGTTGAGCAGCTGCTAGTGAAGAAAATACAGAAATGAGAAGAAACAACAGTACAACAACCATGAGAGAAGCTCAGAAAGAACTTTTCTCTTCGGGTGAGCTTTGGCTTCGTGGTCCCAGCGTTATGAAAGGTAAAAGGCAAAAAGGATGAAATCTCAGACCCATTCGCACCCGCCGCTGGTGGTTTCTGCATTCAGTGAGATCGCCGGTCGCAGGTGGATGCTTCTGGGCTGGGGGTTGGAAGAGAAAAGTATGGGAGGAAGGATAGTGTAAGGTGTGTAAGGGTTGGAAGAGAAAAGTATGGGGGTTTAATCGGATTTTTTAACTGACACCTAAACTTCCTTTAAAGTTAATAAATTTTAAACACGTTCTCGTCCAATGCACCCATGGATGCACAGAACACAGACCCCAAAAACCCTATCCATGCCTCACTACAATTCTGGCAGGGAGTGGTCATAATCCTTGTCTCCGATCCAATTCTAAAATTAATCCCCGTCTTCTTCTCCATCCTTGCCAGTGATAAAAGTTGTCCTTCATTGGTGATCTTCGTAGGGCACTCAAATCTTAGAAATTTTTTAAATGATATTATTTTTTAAAAAATAAATTTATTTAAAATAAACAAAAATTTTATAATATAAATAATATTTTAAATATATATTAATATATATAAATAATATTATACATATATATGTATATAATAATATATATTTAATATAAATAATATTTAATATATATAATCGTGATCGAAGACCTCAATCCCATCTTCGAGTCGCGGGGTCGGGATGGGCCAATCCAATCCTAACACTCCAACTCAGAATATTCTCAGTGGAGGCTAAATTTTCAGTGGGGGGTTGATTGACTTGATTCTTCCCACTGCCTAATGATATCTGTCATCCGACCGCTAGCGTCTCTTGCCCTGTAAATTAAAACCAAAGTTATTCAATTCAAGCACTGATATCTTTCACATTGACCTGCAGAAAACCCAGAAAAGCCATGAACGAATCATCACATTCTTCTATGTCTTCATCTTTTTTACCCCCGAAATGCGGAACTGTTGAAGAAACAGAAACCCAAAATGAAACTGTTACAGCTGGTTTTCATAATATGAGTCCGGAGTTGCTTCAGCAATTGGTTTACGATGCTCTGGTGTGGAGTTCTCTCCATGGGCTTGTTGTTGGAGACCGGAGCGTCCAGGTGCTTATATTTTCATATATGGGTTTAGACGGAATTATATTTTTTCTTATTTTGTGAATTATTTCTTCTTGGGATCAGTGTTTTTCGTTGTTGATTGAATTATGGAGGAAATATGTTTTGGCAAGATATTGAATAATTTCTACATATGAATCAGTTGGTTTGCATGTCTTAATTTTTTCTTAATTGTTTTTCTTGCTGTTTATTTATTTATTTTTTATTTTCCGCTCTTTCTCTTCCACTAGATTTTATGTTTCCAGTAACCCGCTTCGTTTTATTCCATCTCTTTGATTCTGTTCGTTCAGGGTTGGTTAAAACCCTCAATCCTTTTAAAAGAAGGGCAGAAAAAGAAAAGATGAATAAATTAAAACTTGATCTAATGTGATGCAATTTGACTTGCTGGTCTTATATTTGAAATTGGTGATCGAATTGAAGAGGTCAGGAATGATTCCTGGTGTGGGTATGGTGCATGCTCCTTTTGCTTTATTGCCCATGGTGTTCCCTCAAAGTCATTGGCAACAAGCTTGTGAGTTAGCTCCCCTCTTCAATGAGCTTGTGGATCGTGTGAGCTTGGATGGGAAATTCCTACAGGACTCGCTTTCCAGGTAATTCTTTAGTTTGAAAAAAGCTATTTTGATTATATTCTGAAGCAAATAATCTAGTTGATCCTGTTTACACCTTAAAGGTTTGCTGACCATATGGCTTTGCACGATAGAGTGCAAGTATATGTGAGATATCTTTGTAAAGGAATTTGTTTATATAAGTATGGGTTACTAGTATATGAAGAAGTGAATTCTACTTATAAAATGTTGAAAAAAAAGAGATATATGATGGATTGCATGCTGTCTAAATAAAACAGTTTCTAACGTGTTTGACACGTGAATATGCTCTGTTAGACTAAGTGAAGCATCAAATCATGGAGTTCTTAGCTGCATGGGTTATCATATGTTGTTGATCTAATTGTAGTTTGGAAAATCTTCAGTTGTGTCCTGGTGCTCAATTATCTGTTGATTTGACTAGATTCTCTTGGACTCTATTGTGATGTGGGTATAGAAATGTTTTGGATATCCATCCTAGAAGTGGTGGCAGACAACCGAAGAAAACACCATGGTTCTGAATTTGGGGCTTTTCTTATCTAACCGAGGTTACTGTCATTTTTTGGTACTGATTACTATGACAGAGATGAAATATGGAAGATGTTACAGCAGCAGTTAAGCAAATGAATATTTCAAGATATATGGTAATGTTATTCATAAATATTGGCTCTTATAATGGACTGTGATTCTAAAATCATTATGTGGCTCACAAAAGGAAAATAAGTTCTTGCCAGCAATTAGGAAAATGCTGTATTGCCATATGGACACCATCTGTTTATCAGACTTACTGGAAAATATTAGAGATCAACAGAAGGGAGCTCTCTTAGGGTTAGATATCTTAGTTGGGTCATTGGCTTCAGTTGTCACTTCAAGGTTTCCCTCTTTTCTCTGTCTTTTCTTTTTCTTCCTTTCTCAATAAAATTTTATCAGTAGTGATTCTCTGCTAGAAAAATAGACCTCTATTAGAAACCCAATATCCTTGAATGACCCATGCCTCTTTCCAGAGAATGTTGTCTGATTTGTGAATCCTTTTTTCCACTAATCTTTCCTTTAATTTTGTTGTTACCAAGTCTGGATTTCCTCCACCTATGCCTGTTTTCTTTTGGGAAGAACCAAATATAGGGTTCTAGATATTTGGTACGATGGTGATTTTGCTTACAACATGCAAATTGAAAGGTCTAGAAGAGCCAGGGCAGGGACATAGATTGAGGTAGTGAGAAATGATTTGAGGACTCACAACTTAACAATGGATATATGGTTCTTGACAGAGTGGAGATGTGAAACAGGTTACATGTAACAGGCTCTATATGGTTGGGATAAGAGTTTACTGAATTGAGTTGGTATTTGGTAGTTGTAAAGAGACTGGGCCGAATGGGCCCTAATAGCCTTTCGTGTGATATCCTTTATTTTATCTTTTATTTTATGTTGGGCCTCACTTAATGGGCCTGTTATTTGTTCTTATTTTATTTTCTTTATGTAACTGCCAAG